CCCTGACCCAACACCTCCAGCCAGGCCAGGCAACCTACTGGGGAGGGACATGTGTGAAATGTGCGTGGTTTAGTGGTGGACTTGTCAGGGCTGCATTAATGGTTGAACACGACGATCTGAAAGGTCCTTTCCAACCTAAACGATTCCATGATTCTGTGTGCCCACCAGCACGCCTGTAAGCACTGCTTTGGCAGGGATCTCAGTCTATTCTTATAGAGGAAAAACGAGGACACTGGGATTCCCACCAGCTGTCTGAGGACAGAGCTATGGATGTCTGTCAGATATCTGGCTACAGGTTAAGTGGATGCAATCTCTTGCTGTTTGCCCTTCAGGGATGCATCCTCTGCTGCCCTGCCCCCATCACCTCCAAGGTGACCAAGGGAATGTTTTTTGCTCAGCTGCCTTCCCGGGGTGCTCACTGTGGTGCCCTGCTTGGTCTCAGTGATGAACTTCAGGTCACAGGGCAGCTGCTCAGGGCTCACCCCAGCAGCAGTGTGATGCCAGTAGGCCTTGGTTTGCCGTGGCTATTCCCAGATTCCAGATTTCAGCAATCGCAGCATCGCTCCTGTTGCCCTGCAACTGCTTTGGAGGACCTTGAGCATCAGCAGGAGCAAAGGGGCTGGATTGAGGGTTAGAAGGACATCACTGGGCCATCCGCTCCCTGAAATCCCAACCGTAATACTCAACAATTTCCAGCACCTGGCAATAGTCCCTTCCCTGCCTGATGGAGACACTGATAATGGGCTTCACATCCATGCGGCTGGCTCTGTAGCCACGACCAGACCCCGTGGGCTCTCCCTGCCCGGCGCTGCAGCTGGCGACCTAGAGGACGCCGTCCGGAGACAACACACACAACCCCTCCCTTCTGCTCTCGTCCCTGCCACATCGTTTTCCCCCCTCCGGGCTGCCCCGGCGGCTCCCCCCTCCCGCCCCACGCCCCGTGGGGAAGGTAGGGACAGGGGCTGCCGCCCGCCGCCCTCCCCGGGCCCGGCACAGCCGAGCAGGTGCCCCCCCCACCCCCGGCTCCCCGCGCCGCATCCCCCGCACCCATTCCCGCGGCAGCATCCACCACCCGCCGCCGCCACCCCCGCCCCGCCACGGCCGCGGCCGGGCCGGCGAGGCTCGCTCACCTTCTCCACGTTCTCCACGGTGAAGTCGAGGCCTTGCGGCGGCGGCGGCGGCGCCTCCGCCCTCCGCTCCATGGCTGCGGCGGCGCTCAGGAGGCGGCGGCGGCGGCGGGCGGGCGACAGCGGCGGCGCAGGGGCAGCCGCATCGCGGCGGGACCTGCCTCCCCGCCCCGCCGGGGGCGGTGGCACCGGGGCGGCGCGGGGCGGCTCGGTCGGGCCGGCAGGCGCCCCCGCGGGACTTCCCCGAGCGGCCCCGCCGCCCCGCTCCGCTCCGCTCCTCCGGCCCCGCCTCGCCTCTCCCCGCGGGCGGGCAGGCGCGGCCGGGCAGCCCGGGCCCTGCCGCAGCGCCGCGCCGCACGCCGGGAGCGGTAGTCCCGGCCCACGCGCGTCCCCTGCCGGGCAGCGGGGCCGCTCCCACGCGCGGGGCGGGCGGGGCCGGAGGATCCCCGCTCCCACCCCTCCCGCTGCCGCCCCCGGGGAACCGCCCCGGCCCCATCCCCGTCCCCGTCCCCACCACGGGCACACGGAGGGGTCGGACGCGCAGCCCATCGCTTTATTGCTACAGGAAAAGGCGACTGTACAAAAATAGAGTTTATCCCTCAAATTTTACAAATAATAGAAAAGGGGAGGGTGGGGGGGGAGAGCGGGGGGCACGGGGCACTGCCCAGGGCTTCACTGCAGCGCTGGGGTTAAGTTACACCCGGCCCCCCGGGGGCCCAAAGTCATAAATAGGAGCTGCCGCTCGAGAACAATAAATAAATAATTTAGAGTAATAAATAGTTTAGTGCCGCAGCACCACAGGGCAGCGGCAGGGACCCTGCCACCCCCTTGGGAGCCAGGCGGGGTGGGGCTCCCAGTGGGTGCCTGTGACCCACCACCCTGCAGAACACCAGGGGCTGCTGCTGGTCCGGGTCCAGGTCCCCCACTCCACACTGGTGCAAGCTGGCCCCGCTGCACCCCTGTCCTCAGGGTCACCTCTTCTCTGCAGGGCAACTCCAGCCACCACTGACCCCAGGGTGCCTGAGGGGACAGGGAGGTTTTGCCCTGTCTGAAGCTTGGGGTGACACTTGACCCCAGCTCCTCTAAAGCACAGTGGAGGAATGGTGCTGGTGGACATTGGGCTGGCAGACCAGCCAGTGAGTGGTGGGGATGGTCCATACTCCCCTCAGCTCCTCTCTCAGGGCTGAGCCACAGTGCACCCGGGCAGGACCCCACGTAGCCGTCGGCACCAGCTGCTTGGCACTGAGCAGGAAGGGGCTTGGCTGCCCACACCCCAGTCATGGCTCCATCTCACCTCGGCTCTTTGTGGCCACGTCAAAACGGGGGCACCGGCCTCTGCCAGACCCTTCCTCTGAGCGCCGGTGCCACTGCATGTGGCAAGCCGGACTCTGCCGGCGTGCGTCGAGCTGAGGCCAAGCCAGTGGCCCCCTCCTCAGCCAATACAGCTGCACTCGGCTGCTGAGAGCTTCTCCACCGTCTGCCAAGTGTTCTCCACATCCATGAAGGAGACAGCCTCATAGCGGGTGGGCCGGCAGCAGGGGTGGCTGAGGATCCGCTCCTGTGGCCCCGGGGCGATGAGCTGCTGCCGCAGCAGGCTGCCCAGCGTCAGGTCGTAGTTGCTGCGTGCCCGGTGGCAGGACCCACTGCAGTACTTGAAGAGCACGATCTCGTCCGAGTTGAAGCCCAGGCCCAGGTCGCGCACCTTCACCATCAGGTTGCGGATGTGGCAGTTGCGCCCGCGGGTGCCCCGTGAGGGTTTCCGCGCCCCCTTCTTGCCTTTGCCGGTGCCCGGTGGTGAGCGCTCAGCGCGCAGCAGCAGGTCCTCCGCCAGCTCTGCGGTGCCCGGACGACCTGTCGTCGCATTTTCCCCTGTACACGGAGGAGACAGCACCATCAGTACCCATCCCACACCCATCGCCCTCCTGGGCCTGCTGAGCCTGCTTGCCCCCGCTGTGACCTACGGATCCCTCCTGACCACCCACATGACATTGGCTGGGTGCCCAAGAGGCAGTGCGGTGAGTGGGTGCCCAGCTAAGAATTTTCCTCATCTCTAGGGCCTCTGCCGCCATCCCCAGCACGCACCACTGAGCCCCCTTCAGCCCAGCCCCAAGCGCAGCCACAGCCCCACACAGGCTGAGGGTCCCCACAGCAGCTCCCAACCTGGCCATGCCCCATCTGCAGGGCTACCCTGCCCAGGCTGGGGGTCCTGTCCCAACACGCACCGTACAGCTGGCTCCAGGCAGCGGCGAGTGGCACCTCCACACCATCCTCCACAGATGGGCTGGCAGTGGCCATGCCCTGTGGCGTAGGGGCTGTGTCCAGCGTCTCGTTGCAGTGCGGTGTTCGCAGGGCGCCCGTGGCCAGCCCAGCCAGCAGTGACAGGATGGCGAGGAGCCCCCACAGTGTCCCCTCCTGCAACAAAGCACAGCATAGCTGGGTGAGCCTCAACCACAGTCCCAGGGACAAGGCTCCATGAGCTGGGGATGGGTGGGGATGGGAAAGTGTGGTCCTGGCCATCACGGCCAGACAGACCTGGGCTCACCTTGGGCTGCAGGTACGTGGCAGGTCCTGCAGATCTCGGCTCTGGTGGCCCCTGTCGCTGGTCCATGCTCGCTGCAAGTGCAGAGGTTGGGGTCAGTGCCCACGCAGCAGGGATAGGGTGGGTATCGACCTGGCTGGCTGGGAGCTGGCACATGCTTCTCCTGCCTTCTCCAAGCATGCAATCTCCTCCATCACCCTCCAGAACCCCACAAAACCTCCTGCACCCCATGCATGACCCACTCTCACCCCTCTCGTCTCCTGGCGCAGCCAGGCACCCTCACCACACTGCACACCCCTTCCAAGAGATTGGGCAGCTGGGGCAACCCAGCCTTTGTCCAGCACCTCTCCTCGGGGGGAATGCAGCCACCTCCTTGTGCAAGCGGCCTGGGATGCCAAGCTGGGCTGTGAGGCAGTGGCTGGGGCTGGGAGTGCTGCCGGGGGGGCCCTTTCCCATGGCCCTTCCCTGGGAATGTTTTTCTTGCTTGCAGTGGGAGCCTGACCTTGGAAACTCCAAATCCATTAGCACAGGGTCCTCGGGTGCAGCCACCCCTCGACCCTGTGCTGGCTCCCCAGCCTGCTCCCTGCGCCGAGCTGGGACATGCAACCCCAGAGCAGCCTGGGTGAGTGGGGTCTCGAGGGGCAGGACAGGCGGGCAGGGTACATGTCAGGGTGTGGATCACCACGCTGGGCTAACTCCCCAACACCACTGCTCGGCATCCACTGCCCTGACATGCAGAGAGGAACTGGATCCCTGCCGTGCATCATCCCAGCAAGGCAGCAAGCACAGTCTCAGGGGGGTAATGTCCCCCAGGAGGTGCTGGGGCGAGGCCCTGTCTGCAGCCACATGTTCGCCCCCTTTCCCAGCGCCCTCCTGCGGTACAGGGAGGCTCAAAGTGCCCCAGTGTCCAAAGCCAGAATATCCTACATGCAGATCCCCAAGGGGCTTGTACCCTTCTTGGCCCATCTGCTGCATTCCCTGTCTCTTGAGATGGGTCTGTCCCCTTGGAGACTAGTGACATTCTGCACTAAGGAGTTCCCCCATCCACTCTGTGACTGTCCTGGCATGTCTCAGTTGCTGCCATGAAAAGCTGGGATGGGACATCCCTAGGAGAGCACTCCTGACCAAAAAAAAAAAAAAAAAAAGGTGGCTGGGCACCACTGGGACAACAAGAAAAACCAATTTCCTCTAGTCCCTTCAGCATCTCAGGGGATGGTCCCCAAGTCCCGATTGTCACATCTGATACCGCCCTACACTGGCCACGCTGTGGCAAGGGGCTGTGATGGGCTCTGACAGACCCACGTGCCTCCTCCGGGGCCCGTGCACCAGGCGGGATGCGGCCCCGGTGCCGGCAGGGCTCGCACCGGCCCCCCCGGCCGCGCCAGCCGCCACAGCCTGGCCAAGCACAGCCCACGCTGCACGTCCCTCCTGTGGTGGCCCGTGGCCCCACGCCAAACACTGCCGCCAGGTCATGGTTTTCCCAGCCCGGCACCCCCGAAGGGACCAGGCGAGGGTCCCCGCGCTCTGCTGGGAGGGGATGAACCCTTCCCGGTCCCCGCTCCCGGGAGCCTCGCCGCGGCCCCTCGGCTTAAGCATCCCGGCGGGACGGGACGGAGCAGCCGGTGCAGTTCAGGCTTCTCCCGTCCGGCGGCAGCACAGCCCCGGGCTCTGCGGCGGGAGCGCTGCCGGCGGGGCGCCGGACGAGGGCAGCCTCCCTTCGTCACCGGGAGCCCCAGAGCCGGAGCGACGGACGTGCTCCACCAGTGCCTCCGCAGACACGGGGCCCCGTCCCCGGGGACAGCTCCCCGAACGCGCAGGACGGCCGCCCACGCCGGCCCCGCAGCCCCGCTCGGCACCTCCTTTTCCCCAGCGCGGACGGGGATGAGACAAGCTCCTGAGCACCCTACGGCAGTGCGAGACCTGCACACCCCACGTCAGATCCCCACGTCCCGTATGGGGGGAACCTGTTTGAGGTTTGCCCCTGCCACGGCTGCCAGAGTCCAGCCGGGCGATGCACAGGCACAGGAGGTTTTTTTCCAGGGTAGGAACCGGGCCCATCCAAGTGAGGACCCGCTTGGTCCCCCGCACCCGTGTCCCCCCGTCCGGGGCTAAGCAGCAGCGTGCTGGGGCAATCCCTGCGTGGGCCACCGCACACCCACCCACGCAGAGCCCGGCGACAGCCGCGGGGCTGGGAGCGGGCGCCCCGAGGCTGCACCAGGACCTCGGAGGAAGTAGCAGACACTCGCGAAGTGCATTCACTCGGGGCCAGCGGGTGCCCCAGCCCCGGAGTGAGGGTCTCAGCTCACGGAGTGGCCGTGCCTGCCCTGCAGCCGTGGATCCCGCCTGGAAGTACGGAGCGGGTGGGCAGAGACGCCCGCGGGCACCTGCGAGAACCGGTGGAGGCCCATCATCCCTCCGCGCTGTCCCTGGCAGAACTGACGGGGGGTCAGAAATCAACCCCACATGTGATGCGGAGCGGGTACCCGCCCCGCGAAGCCTTGGGAGGCCCGGGGACGGACACGTGGGGTACACGGATGAGACTAAACTCGGCTCCAGCCCGGGGGCAGCAGAGGCGGGGGGCGCTGGGCAACCCCTCCCCGTGGCTTTCGCCCGGCCACCGCCCGAGCAGCCAGAGCGCAGACCTGTCCGATGTGCCCAACGGGCCGGGCAGCAGCCCAGGGGAGAGGCAAGAGAGTCCGCCCCCGTGTCCCCCGGGCGCCCGCAGCGGGGTCCCGCCTCTCCCTGCCCAAACAGGGAACCCCATCCCCGCCGCGGCTCCCAGCGCTTCCCGCCGCCGGGCCGTGCTCGGCACCCCGGGTATTGCCGAGGGGTGGGCGGCGAAGCGGGTTCCCCCCGTCCCCCCCGCAGTCCCGGTACGAGCCACCGCCGAGGTCCGGGGCCGCCGGCAGGCTGGGGCGGGCGCTGTCGCCCGCCGCCCCGGCCCGCACTCACCGTGCCCGCGGCGGGGACCATCCCCCGGGCCGCCGCTGCCCCGCATCTCCTCCGCTCCCCGCCGCCCCCCGCCGCCCGCCGCCGCCGCGCCGGCGGCGGGCGCTGGCGGGGGCCGGCGCTGCCCCGCCGGCACCGACTCCTGCCGCTGCTCCCGGTGCCGTTCCCGCTGTGCCTTGGGGTACGGGTCCCGGTCCCGCTGCGCCTCGCGGTGCGGTGCCGCCGGCGGCGGGCGGACGCACAGTGCGGGGCAGCGACGGCTCCATCCTGCTGCCGTCGCCGCTACCGGTGTCAAATTCCAGCCGCCGTCACCTGACCGGCGGGGCGGGCACCGGCACCGATACCGGGACCCCGATTCGAACTGGCACCAGAATACCAGCCGCCATCCCGACACGCACCGCAGCGGCACCGGGCCTCCGACCCGCACAGGCGCCGAGACTGCCCCGGGAGCAGGACGGCACCGGGATACCGCCAGCAGCAGGAGCCGCAGCCCGACCCGCTTCAGCACCGGCTCTCGCCGGCACTCGCACCGCCGCCGAGCTCCTGCGGAAACTCGCACCCCGCCGGGAACGGCACCGGGACCCCCGGCGGCACCCGACCCCCGCTACCGCCACCCGCACGCCGGCCGACCCCCGGGCAGGCGGACGGGCAGGTGGTCCCGCAGCCCGGCCGGCCAGACGCCCCGTCAGCGGGGCTCCCTGCCCCGACAGCCCCGTCACAGCGCAGGCAGGACGGGCACACGAACACCCCCGGGGAAGCGTTCAGCCCTTCCCGGAGCGCTCCGGGAGCAGAGCCCCACGGGGACCCCGCGCCCGGCGTCGGAGGGCAGCGCCGCACACATGGGGACCCGCCGGGGATGGGGTGGACGGCAGGGTCGCGGCCATCCCGGCCTCGGTGGGACCGTCCGGCGTCCCACGCACCCCGAGCCGCCGCGGGCCACCCGTGTGCCTGGCGCTCGCGTCCGGCCGCGCCGGAGGAGGAGTCCGGCCTCCCCGCCCGCCCGCGCCCTGCGCTCCGGTCCTCCCCGGCGGGGCCGCCCGCCGCCGGGCTGCTTACCTCTGCCGTCGCCCTGCCTCCCTCCGCCGGGGCCGCCGCTGGCCCCGGGGACATGGGGGCCGTCTGGCGAGTCGAGCCGAGCCCGTGCGAGTCCTTACGTCACGGCCCGGGGCCCTCCGCGTCCATCCCGGGGCTCTCGAGTGCTCCTTTGCGAACGTGCCAAATCCCGGGGCCGCCTCCGCTCAGCCCCGCTTCACACGTGCTCCCCTGGCCGGAGCCGGTCGCCAGGACGCGCCCCGGGCCGGGCGAGCCCCCCGGGGCCTGCCCTCATGGCCGCGGGGTTGGAGGGCGGCCGGGGGGACTGCGCGGCCCGGGGGTGCCGCGGGCCGTGTCACCTGCCCCGGCCGAGCTCCGCCGCAGCTCCCCGGCCTTACGCAACTCCCCGGCTGGAGCGGGGCCAGCGGCTCGGTCGCCGGCTGTGCCGCGGCTGCACGCCGGGCCCCAGGTGGCCCGTGGGGTCTGCCCCGAGCCCGGGCACCCCGCGTGGCTTTAACCTCCTCCCCGCCGCCCGGCAGCCCGCGCCCCGCGGTCCCGCGGCGGGGGCGGACGGCCGCGCCTGCAGACACCTGCGGAGCCGCCGCCTCGTCTGCGCTCATCTCCTCGGATTATCCAGCGCGGGGGTGACAACTCCCGCGTCCTCCTGCGGCATCACCTGCTAGGGAGTGTGCGGGCGCCCACTAAGCCGTCCCCGCCACCGCAAGCACAGGGACGGAGGAGGTGGCGCGCTGCCCAGAGCTGTTGCCCCTGCCCTGGAGCGGCAAATTATCCCTCCCGGTCCTGGCACAAGCACCTTCGCCAAATCTGTGGCCATGAGTGGCTCCATACCTGCTAGTGGGACTGCGTGGGAGCATGGGCTCTGCCGTGGGGCTGTGCTGCCCCACGGCCCTGGCCTGAGGCTGCTCCCATCTGAGATGTCCTCGTGGGAGCTGTCAGAGGTGATGCCCTTGGATGACTTGGCCCAGCAGAGGTTTGGAGGCTGGGGAGCATCCCTGGGGTAGAGAGCCAGCCAGGGTCAGGGAACAGGATCCTCTGCTTTGCAGGGCTGCAGACTAACACAGCTGCCTGCTTGGAAAATTTCAGTGCAAGTGGTACGTCCTGTTCAGGTTGACTGGCTGTCCCCATGGGGCTGGGATTGGCCACAGCCCTGCCCCTGCCAGGGCACCTACACCGGAGGAGGGAAGGGCTGCCTCCCACACCAGCAGCCTTCAGGTCTTGGAGACAGCCCCAGGTGCTGGTTCACCAGAGAGGTTACCTCCAATCCTTTCCACCTTCCTCGCAGATTGGGCAGGTCCTGATGTTCCCAGGACATAGCTAGGAGTTACTGAGACAGTGTGGTGCTGGTGGTGGGCAGGAGGATTTGATGGGCATGGCACAGGGTATCCACAGAACCCCATACAGGTGAGCCCATGGTGTCCTCCCCAGTCTTGTGAAATGAGACGTTGTGCAAAGCTGTGCAGTGCCTGGCTTCTGTCCTCTTACAGGTGTGGCCCCTTTGAGGCTGCTACCCCAGCCACCTGGGGACACTGGCTCCCTTCTCTGCCCTTGGCCCTTGTCCTGAGAGACATGAGCCTGCTGCTGCTGTCAGCCCCACTAATGTCCTACCATCAGCACCTCCTCCTTGTCCCTCCAAGATTGTGGTAGCAGGAGATGGCATGCCCCAGCTCTGTGCTTCAATCCAAGTATTGCTCTCTCCCTTTGGGCTTCCACGAGTATTGGCTCTGCCATGGAGAGTGCTGAGCCTGACAGCAGTGGTGGCCCTGCTCTTTAAGCACTGTGAAGAGAGGAGGGAAGGAAGGAGGGTTTGAGCAGTCCCTGTGGGCTGGGCAGTTGCCCCTGTGGTGTCCCACAGGTGCTGGCAGGAACTCACCCTTGTTTAGGAGCTGGGAGGCCTGGCAGACCGGTCACCCACCTGGAAGTAGCCTTCCTGTTCCTCCAGGCGATGGGACTGTCCCCAACACGTCCTGTGGCTCCGGGAGCCCGGCAGCATCACCAGGGTTTGCTGCAGGGGTTGCAGCTCCTCCTGCTGGGACTTGGCAGGTGTCAGAGCTGGTCACAGCCTTGGCCCCTGGCTTCCTAAACTGCTTCCTTCCTGGACACTGTGGTGAGAAGGTCACTTGGCCGGACACTGCCTTTGTCCGGGCTGCACCCAGCCCAACTGCTGCTGTGACCCTTGGCGGGAAGTCACCCTGGTGGCAGGGAGTCCCCAAGAGAGCAGGCAGAGTCCCAGGCAGCCTGTCCCAGGCAGGACCAGCTCTGACGCCTGTGCCTTCCAACATGAAATGAACCCAAACAGCGAGGCCCTCTCCTACCCCTCAGGTCACCTGCGAGGAGGAGCACAGCCCTCTCCTGTCCCCAGCACCAGGCCAGTGGCATTGACCAGCTGCAGCTCCCAGCAGCTGGATTACTGTGCTGGAGGAGACAGCAGTGAAACCAGGCTGGGGACAGGCCAAGCAGGGGAATCCCTCTGCCTCCCATAAAAAAGGCCCAAGGCAGCAGAAGAAAGAGGCCAGCCAAGCTCGTTTGATAGCTTTATTGCTTCTGTGATATGACTGAATTGATGTGACATAAGCCGGCTTGGAGGAGCCTGCAAGACTCTTGCCCTCCCTGCCTAGAGGGGAAATTAAAAAAAAAACCTGCAGAAACTAAAAACTAATTTTAAAAACTCACTGAGTTCTTGCATCTCAGCTTGGTACAGTACCGGCAAACCCACTGGCCTTTGCGAGTCCCTGTGCAGGCTGTGAGAGGAGCCAGAGCCCGGAGGAGCTGGGTAGTGGCCCCAAAGGGGTCTCCTGCACTAAGTACACGTCTCTAATACTGCTCAGACCCACGGCACGTGCCACACTGGTGCTGGTGGAGCTCGGCGTGGTGGCCGCCCCACTGCCAGGCACTCTGGAAGCCCCTGCCCGTGCCTGGTGCTGCCCATCCCCAGCCTGACTGCCCCTGTTTGACACAGATGGCCCTGTCCTGACACCCTCCCCTGCTCCCAGCAGTGCCCACACTGAGGGGCAGCACAGCATGGCCAGGCAGGGCCTCCCCACTGCTCCCTCCGAGGAAAGGAGGTCCTGGAAGCCCAGAGACACTGGGCTGAGAGACATGGGATTGGATCCCACTGTTGCCTCGTGCTCCCTGGCCACGGTGCTTCCCTTTGGTGCTTCCCTGGTGGCAGGAGCCCGACACCAGCGTGGTCAGCCTGAGCTCACAGTGTGGTCAGCGCAGCAGTAGCAGCTCTCTGGCAGCCCCCTCCCCTGGAGCAGCATGTGCTGGCTGCCCAGCAGCTCCCCAGATCTGCCCTCTGCAGTAGTCAGAGCGAAACCTGCTGTGGGCGCTGGCTCCCGGCCTCCCTGCGTGTCCCCGGGCAGGTTCCCCGCCACCCGAGCGGCCTTTCCGCACCGCAGCGCACCAGAGGCACCAGGCAACCCCGCTCTATATTTAGGCTGTGGAGAATTCCCCTGGGCTCTCCCTTCCGATCTGACAAGGTGAGTCACTGCGAGGGAGAGGCCAAGACTCACATCCGTCCCACTGACCGTGCTCTGACCCGCGTGCACCGCTCCGAGCTGGCAGGACTGCAGCGTCTCAGAGAACGGGAGGTGGCTGCAGGTGCACACGGGGAGGCAGCCAAAGGAACGGCATCCAGGAGTGAAACCCAGCGCTGCACGCTGCTCCATCACCCAGCCGTGGGGCTGCTCTGTGCTGTCAGTGACCTGGAGGGAAGTCTTGGCCCCCAAACACTCTTTCCTTCTACTTGCAGGTGGTCCTGAGCCACCACAGTCACCCTGGGCCATGCGCTCAACTAGCCAGCCTGGGCATTTCTGCCTGGAGACTCCCACCAAGGTGAAGGGAAGGGCTTGCAATCATCTCTTTGGTCAAATTCCCATCAGGACCTGTCCCTGGTCATGGTGGAGAGCTGGGATGACAGGAAGGCTGAGCAGTAGGTGTCAATGCTTCCCAATCTACAACCTCAACCAGGTCCAGCCCAAGCATCCCCACTGCCAGCATGACTGGGACTCTAGAGATGACAGTCCTGGGTCTAGGCTGACACACAGAAACTGCAAAGGGAGTGTCACCAGGTGAGAGCCAGGGAAATCCCATCCCCTGGGCGCCTTAAGAAGGAAGAAGAAACTGGGGGAGAGTTCACAGGAGTATCTGCCACAGCATATGCTCAAAAACCTGCTGTAAACCTCACAGAGCATCCTGGTGGGAGGCACGTCCCTGGGGGAGCAGGGACTGCCAGGCTGGGAGGCCAGAGGGATGGGAAGGGACAGGGAAAGGCGAGAATGCCAGAAGAGACACAATCCTTGAGCTGCTCCCAGATGACAAAGCAAGCAGCAGCCACAACCAGAAGCTGGACAGGACTTGCCCCTGAGTAAACTCCTTGGCTACAGGCACACCATGCAGGAAAGGTTCCTGAGGGACGCATCCCACACTGGTCTGTAAGCAGCACTCAAGCCCCATGTCCTGAGATCTGCCTCTGCCTGCAGCCTGGTCTCAAACCATTCTGTACAGTCTGCTCCTCTGCCCCACACCTGGGTCATTTGCCTGCTCTTCCTGCACACCCCCTTGAGGGTCTCAGCTCCAAAGTCACAGCCCCCCACAAGTCAGCAGGGGAAGAGGCAGCTCAGAGTAAGACAGACTACAATCCTTGGATTGTATCGCATGCAGCGCCAGGACCACGAGCCCAACCTGCATTCCTTTGGGATCCCCCTCCACTGACCTCAGCACTGGCTGGCTGCATGCTGGACACCCAGGTACTTGGACAGTGCCTGTGGGTGCAGCCCAGCCTGCTCCAGGAGCCGATTTCCACCTGTAACCATTCACTCCCTTGGCAATCCCCCTTCTGCCCACACCCTCCCAGTGGAGGAGATCACCCTGCTGTCCTCACGCTTGGCCACGTTGCTCAGTTTATTCCAGCTCCTCTGAAATACGTATACAAATCAAATGTGCAAATACTGCATCTTGGGACCAAGGAAGGATGTGCTCCTGAGAGCAGGAGGAGCAGCAGTGCTAGAGCAGCACGGGAGGAGCTTGGAAATGGTGTGAGCAGGGGCCGAGCGGAGGGCGAGGGTTCCCATGAGGCTCCATCCTCACTGAGGTCACATGTTGCTTAAACAGGGAACATGATCGTGTCTGGAACATAAAGCAAACATCTTCAGCGGTCTGCTCTCAAAATGTAAAGCTTGAGATCTCCGCTCAAGATCTGACCTCCTTCCAAAGAGCAAACTGCTCCCCTCCCACACAAAAGCAAAGCGAGATGCTGTCCAGAAACAGTGACACCAATGTGCACAGACTCCACGGGGGCCCTGCACAGCAGGCACAAACCAAGAGGCCCGAAAGCCTTGAGCACAACGAGGCAGGCTCCCCCACACCGTGACAGGCAGGAAGGTGGGGAGGGTCTGCTGGGGCAGGAGAAAGCCATCGGCTCCCCCCTCCACCTCAGGGTCAGGGCAAAGGCAGAGCAAATGGCCATGAAAAGCACAGCCAAGTCGATGTTGCCACCTCTGTGGAGGAAGCAAGGAAAAAAATGCAGAAAAACAAACTCATGCTCATCTCCATTCAGAAGCTCCAAGTGGAGAATGAGAGGAAGCCATTATTCTCCCTTTGAATTATAGCAGCACCAACAACACCGAAGTTTTGGATGGATTTGTTTTCCTGGGGAAAGGTCTGAGGCTGGTGACAATGCACATGGAGCAGGAAGAGGTTGGGTTTTTCGCAGGGCTGTGCACAAGCAGACTTTGCCTTGTACCTTGGTATTTCTAGTATGGTTCCAGCAGAGTCTTTTAAAAAATAATACTTTGTACATTCAGGCATTGCTGCCTTGTGGCAGCATCACCTCCCATTTGGCACAAATCATTTTATTCACAAATCTTTTTTCTCTCTCCTGAGTCTTTCCTGTCTAATTCAGGATGCAGAAGATCTGTCTGCAATGCAGAGTTCAAGAACTGTCCACTTAGTCCCTTGCCCACCTCCTGCCAGCTCTAGGCCTGGAGGTGGCAGATGCAGCCCTCGTGCAGACTGGCAATGCAAGAGGGTCTTCCCAGAGCACCTGGGCATCTCTGTGTGTCTTCAGTGAGGTGGGATTCTTGCAGGGGGCTGCCAGTGCCTGCTCTCAGAGCTGCAGTGTGTGTCTTCATCTCCTCCCCTGGAGGCAGTGGCTGCAGCCACTCAAATCCCACTGGTTAGGTCAGTGATGACTCGGGCTTTCACCAGCTTCCTCAGAAACTCCTTCTCCCGCTGGATGTTGTGCGTCCAAGACTGGAAGGAAATGGGAGAGACAGAAGGTCAGCAGCTACCCTGGCCAACATGCTCCTGTCCCTTGGGCTGTGGGAGACTCCATCTGGGCCAAGGCAGTGGCTTCTGCCAAGGAAAAAGACCCTGCTGCAGCCCAGAAGAGCCCCTGCAGACCAAGGGACTTCTCTTATCTAGAGCTGATACACTTGCAGGGCCAGACCTGTGTAGCTTAATGGTGAAGGTTTTTTTGGCATGGTGAGGTCTGGGCAATCCAGGTCCCTTGGGCAGATGTAGCAGGTTACAGTGCCCTCCCAACCTATCTTACACATGAGTCCAACAGTGCAGCACTGATGGTGGTGTACGCTGGGCAACAGAGCTGGCAGAGAACGTGGTGGCAGGACATGTTGTGCCCATCACACACAGCTCCCTGCCAAGGGAGGTCTCTGGGAATGCATGGTGGTACATGCAGCTGAAAAGCCCTAGGACCAGCCCCATTAAATCTGGCTCTTGCCTCTGCTGGCCCTGCCACCAAGGAAATCACATGCTAAAGGTTACACTAATACAACATGAGGGGTGAAATGGCCACATCTCCCAGCAGGGACTTCAAAGCAGTGACTCCTTTAGCTGGTGTCAGCCCACCCAGATGTGTTCCCTGCAGCAGGGACCACAGCATCTGCCATCACTCCCCAGCACTGGTACTATTGAAGCACTTAATGACAGTAGTATGTGGTTTGTCTCCCTGTAGAGACAAAGGCAGAACAGGGAAAAGCAACTTTCCCCTAAATCTCCCATCAGGACAAGAATCCCAGTAAATGATGCTGGGGCTCCAGCACAGTGCTCTGGTCAGCAGGTAATCTGAGCCCTAAATACGATCTGGACCATGACAAAATCACTCTACAGGAGCCTCTCTGGAATGGCCTCAAACCAACAAAGCACCAGCCCCATGAGCCCACTGAGGGCACTCTGTCATAGGTACTGAAATTCAACTTACCCACTGCAGAACTGTGGGCACCTGCCTGCAAAGCACTGGTTGCACACATCATGCACAACGTCCATGTGGCTCTCCTGTCATCTGCTGCTTGTCCTGCCCTGCCCTGTCTGGGACAGGCAGGTCTCAGCCGTGACTGCTGTGTGGCACTGACAGCCCCAGCCACAGTGTGCATGCAGCGGGTTGCCAAAAGGTCCAAGGGACTGAAGGTCCCTCTCTAGATCTCCAGCACTATTTGGAAATACCTGCTCTTGCTGCTACTGTGCGTTTAAAAACCACTTCCATCCCCTCAGTGCACAGGAATGATGACAATTACAGCTGCTAAAGAAAGTTCAGGCAGGTGATACCTTGCAACCTGTGTTCAAAAGAAGTCTTTGACTTCCTCTGCTTTCAGTGACACTGTTACCTGAACCCTCCAAAGGGTACAGGACCACACTGGTAAACTGTGCTGGTGCTCTTTGGGACTCTGTAAATGTAGAAGACCTCATCTCTAAACTGAGAAGATGCTGCCCAGAAACAACTCAGAGCTTCTGCTAACACAAAAGCAGAGTGAAATCTGGCACTGAGAAGCAAGGTGGCTTGTAAGAGGAAAAAAAGCATCATTTCCAGAAAGCAGCACTGGGAATGATGGTGGTGCAGAGCCAGGATCCCCCAGAGTGCTGGAAACAGTCCCACAAGTGGAATGTCAGCTGGGGATTCAGGGTTTGGCCCCTGCCATGCACCAGTGCCTCTTCTGCCAACACAGCCCCTTGCTAGGAAGGCTCAGCACCAGCAGAGGCAGCCAAGTGTGCGGGTGTGCTCCTGCCAGCAGGCAGCCAGCAGCTGTCACGCTGGGACACCAGGTCTCGACGCATCCACTTACATCTGGCTGGGCCTGCCGCTCGAACCTGCCTGGAGCACCAGGAGCCTGATGTGCCTGATATGTCACAGCACAACCTGAGCCCTCCTTCATGCCTTTCAGCCTCACCAAACAGTATGAGAAGCCAACTGCTTTCGGCCAGGACAACCTGTTTGTGTTCCTTGTACAGATGGGAACTGGGGAAGCAGCCACTTCTAAGCAAACTCAACCCACCACCTGAAACGTCACCTCAGGCCACGTGCAAGTGCCTTATCTGATGGCAAGAGGAAATCTGCTTTGTGAAAAGTACAAGTGGAGCAGGAATTTAAGTACAGGAGGTGGGTAATAAAACTTTGGGTGATACAATTGCAGTTTCTCTACGTCTAGGTCTGGCTCCAGCACTGACTGCAAAACTGCTGGCAAGACCTACCGACCTCAGGTTGTTCAGCATCCAGGCTGCTCTATTCCCCGGGCACTGCCACTAACTCCTGGTTCCAAGCAAAGTCACATGAAAGGGAATTCAGCCTTGCTGCAGAACCATGGATCTTACTGATGTCTACATCAGTACTCTCAAATGTACTGTGGTTCATGTCAGCCTGCAGAGAAAGAGGTTCCCCGGTGAGGACAAGCTTTCATCCCTCCCGAAGAGCAGCATCAGGGCACTCAGTGCAGTGCTGCCTCCCCCCTTGTCCAACAGCAAGGCAGACAGGAGGGATGAGGCATGTCTTCAACACCAGCTCCGGTTACTGATTACAGGAGAGGGACTCACTCACCCCACTGACAGACAGAGCTAATCAGGCAAAGGAAGCTGCATTCCAGCAGCGGCAGTGGGGAGAAGAGCCAGAGCAGTTTTCTCAAAGCCAGCAGAAAGACAAGCACCTTGGTCCCACTGCCCCAGCAGGAAAAGGCAACAAAACACCCTCCAAAACCTTGCAGCTTTCAGGGTGTATACACTCTAAATAGCACCCTGGGTAACACGCACCACCAGCACAAAACTCCAGCTCCTCTCCTGTCAACCTGAACCTCCCAGACGGTGATGGAGCAGCTTGGAGCATTCACTGCCACCTCCACCTTCTTGTCCCTGCACATCACCACTAGTGCAACCTGGCAGACTGGCCCTGCCCTCTCCCTTCCTCTGCTGCTCGCATCCGGTGCAGCTTCCACTTGTGCAAACAAAGAGGCTGCTTGCCTGAGCTCACAGCAGGAACACCACAGGAGGCTCCAGAACCCTTCTTGTTCTCTGGGGATCACGCTAGGATTTCCTGTGCTATGGGTCTCTCTCTGAGTAGTGGATGTTAGCTCTTTCCAGTGGAGAGAGAAGCAGCAGGAGGAGAGTTGCTCTGCAAGCACAGGCACTGTTCTGGCTGTTCATCCCGGGGAGGTGGCAGCGGGTCTGAGCGCTTGGTCACAGTTATTAGATGAAAATTCATCATCAGTTAAAGCCACCTTTCAGCATTATGCAAATACAGCAGCCCCAGACCACCTGTCCTTTTTATCTTTACAATTCCACAAGGAAGCACAAAACATCATCTGCCGCTTGAAGAGAAGCCAAGTAGAATATTTTAAGACTAAGGAAACTTTTCAGAGACCAACCCAGGAGGAAGGTAAGCTCCCCGTCTGCAATCAATTACAATCGGGGAATGCCTCAGCTTCAGACCACATTAGTCTTATCAACCATGCTGCAATTAAAACACAGGAAGGCTAAATTAGAGAGAGTGAAGTCAAGGAGGAATGCATTCACGAAAAATAGCAAGTTGTAAAGCAGGAGGTTTCTCAGTTCTGTTACATCCTCCGTGTTTCTGCAAGTCAGCAGCACTTCTCCCTGAAAACCTGCACAGAAACCAAAGCAGCAGCAAGAACTGCTACTTCATCGGTAACAGTTGGTTTTCACTCTCCACCAGTGCTAACTTATCTTTGTCTTTAACCTTCACTGCCTTGTCTCTAGAGCTGCCTAATCTTCATGATTCTTCCTCATCTGCACTCTTGCTCTGGTCCCAGCATGGTGCCACACGCACCTGGTGTTTTATGGCCACCCCTGAGCTGCAGTTTCACCTCCCAGTGCATCCCCTGTGACACCAGTGCCCTGCCTTGTTCAGCTCCTGTTTCCCCCTTCTCTCCCAGTCCGTTGCCTGGATGTGGCTGCAGCCACAGACAGCCCATCCTGCCCGCACCCCCTCTGGAGTCACCCCTACTGAAACAAAAGGCATGGCTGGGCACCCTCATCTTCCCATCTTTAGGAGATTTACTCACAGCTCCTTCATGCCCAGTCATTCTTACAGCAACTTTGAATTTCCAACAGCTCTTTTAGCTCACGCTTGTTCTTGATACACACACACAGAGAAACTGTATCTCTTCTCAGTCTTCATTTTACCAAGTTAAACAACCCAGGTCTTCCTTCTACCAAAACAGGCTGTTCATTTACCCCATGAAAACTGGGAAATTTCCCAGAAGTACAATAGCTGCCCTTGTCCCTATTTACCCCAAATTTACTTCTCATGAACCAGAAAAAAGACAAAAAGCCTCTGCTTCATGCAGAGGCAATTCCCTCTCTCTACAACTTTCCTCTAGTCTTTCCAGAGCTGTATCTGTCTTTTTTTCACAGTAACAGTCTGGCAGCCTGAATTATCCTGTGATTTATTTGTACCTACCTAAGCACCTTCCTCCTCTGCCACTGCCAAATGATGCTATCCCAGCTTAGAGTCAAAATGCCTGTTATTGCCCCAAACAGCATGACCTTCCATTCATACTCTTTAGGTCTCATGCCACCCAGTTTACTCCTGTTCTCAAGGTGCTCATGGTCTTCCTGGACGGTATTTTGATCCTCCCTTGTATTGACCACACCTGGTTTTGTCTCATCACAAATTCCACTTGCACACCATTGCTCTCTGTGCCAAAAATCATTAAAGCAAACACTAAACATGACTTCCTGTGGAGGAACTCCCAGCTGTCCTTTCAGTGCTGCTTTTTGTGTTCTCTTTTAGAGAGGCTATTCACATACAGGTGTTGCACCAAACTGTGGCTTCTGAAGCTTAACTAATAATATCTCACACAGCACAGTATCACATGCTTAACTTAACTTCTGACAGACTGGGCTACTACACTTCCTCTGTCCCAAGAATGATTTTTTTTTTTTAAATCAAATAAAGATATTAAATTAGTTTTTGTAACCTGCCTTTGGTAAATCCACGTTGTGTTTGC